ATAACCTTTGCCTCAAAAGCTGGGGTGATGAAGTTTCAGAGGTTTTAACCCTAAACAGATACCAGAGTTCAAAGACTTAATTGTTTCAAATCTCACCAATTTCATGAATGGAAGCGAAATAGGAGCCCTGGGTTGATGTGGCTGCAGGGTGTACCTGCAGGGTGGCTGGTCCTGGTGCCAGCTGGGTTTGGGGACCTGCCCTGTAGGGAACTGGAGAGAGAGAGAGCGAGGCCTGCACGCACGCAGCCCACGGGCCAACCCCAGCTCCAGTGGTGTCCAGCACCAGCAATGTCAGTGACTGCCTGACCTCAGCATGGGTTGGATCTGGACAGCGGGTGGGGGATTCACTTTTAAATGCCGTGCTGGAATTGTACATGGGCCAATCAGTCCTGAAAGTTGGGTGCCCTGAAGGAGATATAAATGGAGGTTCCAGAGGGTTTGAGATGCATTTGTTGGGACTCAGACCTTTGCAGGCAGCTTTGTTGAGGAGATCCATCAGGACTGCGATCTCTACAAACAGCAGCCTCACTGCTGCCTCTGTGCCTGTCTCTGGAGGAGCTGTCCGCGGTGTTTTATGCCAGCAGCTTCCTAAGACCTGCAGCACTGGTGTCTCTGCCGTCATTGCCTCCTCACCTGTTACCTGCACTGTTGACCTGTGTCTGGTCATCTCTAAGAGCTATCCCCTGCTTCCCATCCTCCACCAATGCCTCCTGGTGCTGTTACCTCCAGTGCTGTTTGGTCCAGCGCCCAGGACTGGTACCTGTACCGTCCAGTCCAATTTTTGGACTGTTGCCGCTGCCGGCTGCTGAGGTGCCACCTCAACACCAGCAACTGTGGTCACCTCCAGCGGCATGTCACTGGATTGCATCCTGGTCCACCACTTTACTGGCATGCCACCAGCTCCAGGTTCTCATTGAAGGGATAATTCCATCTCGTATGAGCAGCCTTTGATTTGGAACTGAGCATTGTGGACACTATCTAGGGTAGGACAGCTGGCCACATGTGGCCTAAAAACTCTCTCCTGTTTCCCAATTAGCCCTCTGTTAATAAACTTTGTTGTTGCTGCATCCTGAACGTGCATGGTGTCTTGCAATTCTCGTGCAGGCAAGAACCCACAAACAGTGACCTTAGGTTTCAGACTATTTTAGGAGGAGCAAGTTGGCAATGGGGGCTCACCTCGGGGCCCTGTTATCTCTCTAGTAGGCTCCCCAAATTCTCATGGGCTGCAAAGCACCATGACTTTCCTGCAAGTGTCGCAGAGAACAAGATTGCCTGTCTCATAGTCCTGATGTGCCTCTGAAGGTATTCTGCTTTTGACGACCATTTAGCCAGAGCGTGAGCACTGATGTCCTGGGATTTTCCCTCTGTGAGACCAGTGAAGTACTTTTAGTTGTTTAAATTTCTTTTTCCACTCAAAATCATTTTATTTTTGACTCCAGTGTTAGAGGAATATAAAAATGGTATAGTCCCCAACTAGCTGTCTTTCTTTTCAGTATCAATATAGGAACATCAATTTTTTTCAATAATAAATGCAACTTTCTGGAAAGGTCCTGGACCTGCTAGCTTCTGAGAAATAAAAATATTTACATTCTGAAAACTGGCTGTGACTCCAATATAAAATTTCCATCTTCATTCAACTACTTCGCATACCCTGCTTTGTATCAGAATGAGTCAAATATAATCTCCCTCCCACACTGTGATGTCATCTCAAAGAGTCAGGGAGCTTGCCTTCCACAGCGTTCTACCCTCCTACCCAGGGCCTAGCATGGATCCTGTAAGTTCCCCTTAAACGTTTGCATTTTAGTGTTTAGTAATTGCTTTTAAACCCAAATTATGGTTAAATGATTGACATGCATTTTGGTTAATTTGCTTATTTCCCTTACTTACCCATTAAAAAAAATAATTTGAAACATTGAAAATTGCCAGCCATTCTTGTTTAAACAAAGCTGCCTGAGCACTCTATGCTGCCATCTGGTGGCCATCTGATCAGTTCCCGCTTGAGAAGTAACAGGGACGGTCTAGAATTCTGGAAGTGGCTGGTAGCAGAGGGGGTATGTGTTTCCCCCTGATTATTCACATGCTGCTGAGGGTAGTTGCCTTTTTGCACTTGGCATTATAACAGAGCAAGCCTTCATTGTGGTTTTGAAAACAAACATGTAATGATAAACTCTTGCTGGTGTTCTTGGCTGTGCTTCTGTTTTGTGGACTAATAATTTAGGCTGTGGGATATTTCCATCAGGACAATGCAGCTTTTAGAGGAGAAAAGTCACACACACACACATCCTGCGTTGCTTTCTATTCTTGCTGATTTCTAGTCCTGTCCTGCCTCCTTCACAGCCCTTTGCTTCAAGAGAGTGTCCCTAATACAAAACTACACTTGGTCCTGAGGGACGGGAGTGTGGTCTCCCTGGTTCAGCCTCTTAAGGCGATCACCAAGGCTTTTTAATTCAAGTTCACAGGCAGTCAAGGTCTGAGACCCTGAACACCTAGTTCCTCCTGCTTTCTTTATTTCTTTATTTCTCTTCTCTTGCCTTGACAGTTCTTGGTGCAAACCTGTGAATTTCTTGGGTCCCCCATTTTTTTCCCCTCAAACACACACAGCAGACACACGCGGATATGTACACTTCAGGGCTCTGGCCTAGGTCCCTGCAGGAACATGGTTCTTGAGGGAAACAGGGAAAATCCATTTAAGTATTATGTTGAGAGACTCTCCAGGGCCGCTGCACTAGTAGGTTGAGTTGGCTTGAGCCTTCCGGTATGAGTCGAAGGGTGAGGCAAGTCTTTCTGTCACCATCCTACAATCTCTCTCCAGTTGGGTCCTGAAACTCCCATGTAAACAGAAAAACATAATTTCCAAACTAGAAATGAGGACTCATGTCTGGAAGTCTGTCAGAACAATGGGGCGTTGCTATTGGGCTAAATCTGGAATGAATGATCACTCAGAAATAGGATTCACCTTGTATTCAGCTGAAGTCATGCAGGAACGGCTTGCTTGGCAACTGTTGAGAAGGACTGTGAGATGCTTGTGGGTTTGGGAAAGGGGTGGAATCCAGGGGCATATTTGGAAGGTCTAAGATAGCCATGGGATGGCCTGGACTAGAGCATTACAGTATTGGCTTCACACACAAGTGGTTTCTTGGAACATTGACAGTGAAATGGTATCAGCTGTTTACATCCTCACGTGAATTAAATTATTCAATTTGCTGCTCATCTCCCCTTAAGGTGCTAAGGGAATGGCGTTACAGGATTGGAGAAGGGTTTTTTTTAATGGCTTATTCTTTTATCTTACTGAGGTAAAATCTACTTAACAGAAAATTCACCATTTTAGCAATTTTAAGATGTACAAGTCAATGGCCATTAGTATACTCACAAGGTTTTGCGATAGTCATCACGATACAATTCTAGATTTTTTTCATCAGCTTAAAAAGAAATCCTGTACCCATTAGGCAGTGACTCCTAAGTCTCACCTCACTTTAGCCCCCTGGCAACCAGTAACCTGCTTTTTTGGCCTACGGATTTGCCTATTTCCTGTCAGTCAGTCATACAATATTTGCGGTTTTTTTTTTTTTGGTCTGGCTTCTTTCATTTAGCATAATATTTTCAAGGTTCACCCATGTTGTCACATGTGTCAGAGCTTTGTCCCTTTTGCCATATCACATTTTGTTCATTCATCACTTGATGGACATTTGGGTTGTCTCCACCTTTAGATTACTATGAATCATGCTGTTATGAATATTCACTAACAAATTGTTGCTTGAACACCTATTTTCAGTTCTTTTGGGTGGATATGTTGAGTTTCTCTCCCTCCCTTCTCACCTTTGGTGACAATGAATCCGTTTTAGCTGTCTGACAGGTGAGTTTTGCTATGAAGAAAAGAGCAGGAGTTTGGGTGTCACTTGGATGAGGCTGGGGTGGACAGGGTGCCGGGCACGTGGGTGTGCCACAATCCTAAGGCAAAGGATCTCTGAAAATGAAAAGAGGCAAGGCAGTGCCACCATGGGATGGCAATGACCTTGAGCTTGGTGGATGGAAGAGGGATGGGGTTTGACTGGAACTATGGCACAGCTGCTGCTATTTACCTGTCTTTTATAAGAAAAGGAAAAATCTCTGCTAGAGATGAAAAAGTGATTAAGGAAGACTTGAAAAACAATGAAATTGGTTATGGTTTGGCTATGTTTTAACAGGGTGTTGTTAATGGATTTTTTTTTTCCGACAGAAGAAAAGCTTGTGTAGCTGCGTGTGACTGCAAGGTGACAAAACTGGTAAAGAGTTTTAGCAAAACAAAGTGAAAAAGCGACTTATGGAATAGGAGTAGTGATGGTGGCGGTGGTATCGTGGTAGTAGAAACATAATGCTGCTAGGTATTTCTAAGTCGATGGACTTTCTCTAAGCGTCTACAAGCTGTAAACTCACCAGCGTGACCAAATCAGGCAGAGCAGGCACTGCCAATTGAGAAGCAGAAAATTAAGGCACACACCCGGTGATCGTAAGCGTGCGTGCAATCATCAGGGTCTGTTAGATATGAGATGTAGAGTCACGTCAAGTCAAGAAATGTCAGGGCTGGGCGTGGCTTTGAGATCACGCAGAAGCCACGCCCAGCGCATTTGTGGAGGCGGAATGCCCGCCAGAGTGGGCGGGTCCTGGGTTTAAATGTCAGCTCAGCTAGTCTGAGAGTGAAGGACCCACGTTACTAGTCTGTTCTTTGTGCCTACACAGAGTGACATCATAACACCCACTGCATTGCTTTGTGGTGGTTTGCGTTCTTATCTGTCCTCTGCACTGGACTGCTGGATGGATGGAGCTTGTGTCTGACTCATCTCTGTCATCAGGACAGAACATGGTTGTTGAAACTTGCTTGGTTCCTGTCCCGTCCCAGCCACTTTGGTCCATGGCATTATTGTGTCCCACTTTGGATATACCACAGCACCCTTTCTCTAAATTGGATATCGCCCCCCACCCCTCATCTCTCTGTACCCCTTTCCCGGTGGCCGCACACTCACCTGCACCAGGTCCGGGGTGAGGCGCTTGGCCTGCAGCCATTTCTGGAACCTCCCGGTCTTCCGCAGGACACGCTCTATGCTGCAGGTCTTTGGGGCGGCTGAGGCACAGATTCTCCTGTCTGAGATCTCGTCTTGGTGTTTGCTGACCAGCCTCGAGATCTCCACTGGGCGCCAGGTTTTGGAATCATCTGAGTAATTTGCAGGGTATGTAGGCAAGTGGTCGGGAGGTAGCCGGAGGTGGGAAGCCAGCCAGTTGTCAAACCTAGAAGAACAGCCCTTTTAGGATACCGCTGGGAGCTGGAGGGATGAAGCTGGGCTAAGCAAGCACGAGACACATGGCAGAGTCAGGGGTCAGCAGGGCCCAGACAGGGACACGGGCAGCGCCCAGACACATCCATTTCTCCTCCTTCGACTGGAGTGCTCAGAATCTTTTCTGTGAGAGGACTATTTTTGTTAGTATTTCTTCAGACTTAGGGAAGTGTCCATGTGTCAGAAAAACGCAGGGAGATACATGCCAGACACAAACCTGATCGTCTTCATGCTATTGGCAGGAAAGAGCTAATCACGATTTTGAGAACTTCCAGTGTATGTAAAAGAGCAGCAGGACCCATGCTGGGACCTTGGATTCTCCTGATACACCCCCCCTCCCCTTTACAACCATGCAGACTGAGGCTTACTGGCGCGTGAGTACCTTGCCCAAGCTCACACAATACTTTGCCAAGCAGCTCTGCAAGCCCAAGGCTGTCTGTCGACAAAACCCATGACCTCTCCCCTTCCCTAAGCGAGTTCCGGCCACTGCCTGCCATGTAACCAATGGCTGGGTCTTGGAAGCATACTTCTTGAAGAACTTCTTGGCCAGCACCGCGGAGACCTTGCCTCTCCATATCCAACCTCAGTAGCCCCATCTATTTGCTTTCAGTCCAATGACTTTGGTCATTAGTACCAACAAGTGACTACTAAATGGTCACCAAATTCCAAGTTATCTGGAATCCAGAAATTATGCAATTCACACGAAGGCATGGTTGGGCCTTCATTCTCCCCCCTCACCCCCCACCCCCCTGCCACTTCCCCTCCCTCCCCCCCACACCCCAGGGGGGGCAGAACTTAAGTGCTGGCCTATGCATCTGCTGATTTCCTGGGCCTAGCCTTGACCTTTTTCTCTAGTTATTCTTCCAACTCTGTGCATACATTTCCATGAGGGAAGAGTGTTAAATCTTCTGATTTGTGTATGAAAAATTACTAAGAGAAAGTTTTTCATCCAAATTGTCATCATAATTTTGGTGATGGTTGGTTACTTTTTAAAAAAAAAAAGTTTATTTATTTATGCATACAAGAGCTGGGGTGTAAGCCAGAGGTGTGGAGGGTGAGAGGATTCACCAGAGACAGATTGGGGAGCAGAACAGGCAGATTGACTGAAATACACTGCTGAGGGGAGCAGCGGGCAAGACGGGAGAGGTCTGCTGCGCCATGTGGGTCAGCTCCCTGGCTGGGATTGAACTCTTGCTGCAGTGGCTGTGGACAGCTTCATAGTGCACCACTTTAACCCCTTGCAGCACCAGGGAGGCCCTGATTGTTGGTTTCTTTTATTTATTTTGTGTATAAAGTAAAATAAAATAATATCCCAGTGATAAATACTCCTAAGTGTTTGATGTACAAATCTTTGAACTCCTCTGTAACTGAAAAGTACTTACAAACACTTGCTCATAGACATACCCATATATTTATTTGTATGTGTGTGTGTGTATATATATATATATATATATATATATGCAAAATCACATATATGAGCAAAGGTATATATATGTCTAACAGAGTATATATATGTCTAACATATGTCTAACAGTTAATTTCATATATATTGCTCTCTAGATTGCTATAAATGTAATTATTAGTAGCAATGCTATTATCATATTGCAAATTAAAATTAGAATTATCAATTTTATATTTAATTTTAATAATAATTCTTAACATTCTTATTATTGGGCATTACTCTGCAGCCTTACAATAATGAGTTTGGGAAGAGTTAGCATTATGATTTTCCCCAGACCCTAGTTTATTTTGTTTTCTCACTTATATGATACAGCTTTACCATAAGAGACTGCAAACTTTTTACAGAAGATTTTCTAGCAAAAACAGTCAATAGCACCTTTTATAATCAGGACCATTCCAATTGCAATGAAAGTAGGCAAAAAAAAAAAAAAATCCTGTTCAAGAATATTGCCATAATTATTTTTTAAAAGGCAAAACACTGTACACTTGCAAGATTGGATGTTTTAGGAGAACCATGGGAAGTGATTTTCCCTTCTGGGAGGACAAGGAAAAGCCTGAGATCACAAGGAGGTCTTGCTGCCTATTTTTTGCAACTGTTTTTGCTCATGGTGATTCAATGTCCCTGAAAGTCTGTGACTAAGGATTTATAACCAGGTACCACTCCTAGATAATGATAATAGGAACACACATTTATGAAACACTTGAACATGCCAGTCACTTAGCTAAACATCTTCTGTTTATTTAGTTAGATCTTTTAACAAACCTATGACATTAGTACTACTATTAACCATACATATGAGGGAACTGAAGTGATTTGCCTAAAGTCACATAACCAGCAATTTCCAGTAGTATTCAAGGTTCCAGAGTGTATAATCTTAGCCATTATTTATTCCTCTATCACCTGTTTTATGAATAAGTTCTTGGGTACAGATTGGGAACATTATTAGGGTTTGTAGTGAGCTGAGGTTTTGAAGAATATTTTGTCCATGTCCTCCTACCCACCCACATTTTGAAGATAAGAAAATTGAATGCACCTTCTTTGAATATAGAAATTAAGAAAATAACTCCATTTAAAATGACCTAAAAAAGAATATCTCGATTTAACATAACTAAGGGAGACAACTGCAGATGCTATTAAAGGGCTTAGATAGTGACCTAAGAAATTGGTCACTATGTTTATGGATGGGAGAGAATCAGTATAGTCAATGTGACCTTCCTGCCTAAAATGATGTAGAAATTGGATGTGATTCTCATCAAAGTATCAATAATATTTTTCAAATAAATTGAACAAAAATATTGAAATATATATGGAACCTCAAAAGGCAAAAGTGAGCTTGAGAAAAAAGAAACAAAGGATCATGCTACCTGACTCCAAACTTTACTATAAAGTAAAAGTATTAAAAACAAAATGGCGGCCCTCCCTGGTGGCGCAGCGGGTTAAGCACTGCACTAAGAAGCTGAAACCACTGCCACGTAAGTTCGAATCCCGCCTGCCCCGGAGGTGACCACATGGCGTGGCAGACCTCTCCTGACCTGTCCGCTGCTCCACTCAGCAGTGTACTTCGTTGATCTGCCTGTTCTGCTCCCCACTCTGTCTCTGGTGAAGTCTTTCGTCACCCCTGAGTCTCTGGCCTGTACCCCAGTTCTGTATGCACAAATAAATAAATCTTTAAAAAAAAATGGCACTAGTACAAAAATAGATACATTAATTCATGGGAGAGAATTGAAATCTCAGAAGTAAATCCACACACATGTCAACCGGTCCCTAATTTATGCTAATGAAGGCATGAACATACAATGTGGAAAGGAGATGCTGTTGAGAAAAGTGGGAGGCCACACATAAAAGAATAAATTTTATTGTTCTCTAACTCCATACACCAAATAAATTCCAAATGGCTGAATAGTTTAGATATAGCACCTGCAAGATTAAAATATATAGAAGTAAACATGGCAATATGCTTCGTGACATCAATGATAGAGCTGTCCTAGAAATTTAACCCTTATGGCAGGGATATAAAAACAAAAATTAACAATTGGGATTACCTCAAGCTAGAAAATTTTTGTATAGCTAAAATATATATATAAGAAGATTAAAAAGACACCCTACATAATGGGAGAAAATTCACAATATATGGCCAACAGGGGTAAATAACCAAGATATGTAAAAAAGTCTACAATTCAACAATAGGAAAGCAAACAACACAAGTAATAAAAGGATAGTAGATGTGAACAGACAATTCCCCAAGGAGAATACCCAGGAGGTCCAAAATATATGAAAAAGTGTTCATCGCTGTTTCCAGTAAGAGAGCTTCAGGTTAACGCCACACTGAGATACCCTCTCACACCCATGGCAATAGCACATAATAAAAAGAGCCCTAACAGCAAGTGATGGAGAGGATTGGGGAAAGAGGAACCGTGTTGCACTGTTGAAGGGATTATAAACTGTGCCGACATTATGGACAAATGTCTGTATCTGTCTCAGAAAGCTAAGAATGAAAATACTGTACAACCCAGTAATTCCAACTTGGGTATCTAGCCAAAGAACACGAAACTATCAGTGAAAAAAACGATATGCTCCAGGATGTTACTGCAGCACTATTTGCAAAATGGAAGTAGCCTAAATGTAAACTTTAGATGACTGGATGAAAAAGATGTGGTACGGCCACGCTATGGAAATCTGTTCAGCTATGAGGAAAGTTGAAATACAGCCATTTATGGCAAAATAGAGGGAGTTAGGAAAATCTGGCTAATAAGCAAGTCAGAATGGCAAAGACAAATTCTAGATGTTTACATAGCAGAGATTTGATAAAGTGAAATACAAGAACTAGCAGATATTAGTAAATGCAGTGAGGACTCAAGGTTAATAATTAGGGAAGAGGAAGAAGAGGATAACAGGATATAAGGGATGATGGTGGGGGAAAATTAAAAAGAAGAAATACAGATGGCCAATAAACCTGAAGAAAGGGCTAAACTCAAAAGAAATACAAACTAAGAACAGTAGTAATATTAAATATGTGTGAATGTGCAGTAAGTGATCTCTGTAGGTAAGAGTCTCCACTTGGAGACACATATCAAAAATCTTACAAATTTACTATATATATATTTTTATATAGCTATTCCACTTTTTGGAATTTGTTATAAGAGTTACTGATGCGCACTAAAGTTTTATGTGTACAGGGATATTCAATAGCACTATCTATCACACTAAAACGTGACAGGAAGCCTAGTTGCTTTACTATAGTGAATCAGAAAATAAATCCTAATGTTGATTGATGCAGTTGAATACTATGAGGCTTTCAGAAATCAAATTGTGCTTTTCCTCCCTGGCTTCCTGAAGCTCCGCGGCATCTCGGATGACACAGTAGCCATCTGGGCCGGCCAGCTCATGACCAAGTGGCTGCTTCACGGCGGTCCCTGTCGTCCTTCACTCTGGGAAGGCGACGATCCCAAGACAGAAGCTGGGGCACGAGCTCACGCGTCCAAGGCCACCCC